CGGCAGGGTCCAGGACAAAGCTGCCGTGTGCTGTGGGGAAACACCCCCGGCACCCCACAGCCCTTCCGGCCCCTTTCCGCGAGCTAAGCCCCGCCTGGGTGGTCCCTGTGCCCTCTCGGGTACCGGCTTTGTTGAGGGAGGGAGGAGGTGTCACTTTTTGCTGTTGTCACGTAAAAGCGGCTCCTAGCTGAAGCGCTATCGCTCGCATCCCGGGTGAAGAAGCCTCCAGCGCAGTGATGGGTGGATGTGGGGCAGCACCGATGGGGCGGCGTGCCAGCACCCCACAGGGGATGGATTCCCTCGACCTTGACTCGCATTCAAAAGCCTTCCCCCCAAGAAAGAGAGAGAAATGTCTAGTCCCAACTCTGTCATGCAAAGTGACTCTGCTCGCATCCCTCCCCGTGGCTCTTTTCATTAATTAGGGTCTGCAAAGTGTATGGGGGAGGGGGAAGCGGCTGCAAGCCACTAATTATTCAAACTTCGGAGACAGCATCCAGATGAGCTGGGTCAGCTCTTTAGGGCAGTGCTTTATAACCTGTGTGTACCAGGCGGGGAGTGATTATGCTACTGTGGAAAGCCTCCATTAAGAGATTTCGTTTCATCATTACTCATTGCCTGCAGGATGTGTGCAGACTCCAGTGTGGATAAACTAAGGTTTTTGGGTTTGGTTTTGTTTTACCGCGGAAAAGAAACAATTTGCTGTGTTATAAGAGGGTCGTGAAAACCTGCCCTTACCCGCCCCTCCAGACAGTAACCTTTTTAATTGCACTCATCCCTTGAAACACAATATTTCACAAGTGTCCCTTCGCGTCGCTCCCACCCGGCTTGTCACAGATTTTTGCAATGACTCGTCTCATTCCTACAGCAAATTCTTTCAGCCCCGCCGGCTAACGCTCCCCAGCTCTGGATAGTTTCAAGACTCCCCCCCCCAAACTTCCTGAGTCCACGGGCGAGAAGGACCCGCAGCGATGCCCCGGAGTACGGCCGGGCTCCCTCCCCGCCGGTGGCGCAGCCCCCCGTCCCTCGCCCCGCTGCCCTGCCCCGAGGGCGGCTGGCGGAGCCGTCTCCACGGCTACCAAGCGCCCCGCGGGCGGGCGGAGGGAGGGAGGGACGACCGCCC